CAATTTACCTTAGGAGACCGGTTGGGAGTTTTTAATATGGATAAGCGGTCCGAATTAGGCCGAATTTGGGGTCTCCTTTTGCCGCATCTCCTCCTTCCCACCACGACCTCTATGGGGGCCCCTCGGCTAATGGAACATCTCCCCCCCTCCATGCCGCAATCCAAAGCCAAGAGATTACTTTCTGCTTTGTTCGTAGTTGGAATTTTTGGTTTTTGCCAGCATCCTCTCTCCCCCCCCTCTCCTCCCCCCTCCCTACCCCATTCTCATTCACAGGCTCCCACCCACCTCCTCTCCTGCCCCCTTCACTACACAATAGCAGCAGGGACAGTACACAAAGGGGAATGGGGAACCACATGGATAGCAGCAATACAGGTGGTAGTAGGTGTTCCGGCCACACCAATAGGAAAGTCTTAAGTGCATAGATTTTAAATGCAGCGCTGTCAACAATAATATACGCTCAGCAACAAACACCGGGTGCTATCAGGCACCTACATAAAGTGCTAGATCTAAAGTGCTCTATTCAATAGTAATTAAAGTGCGGCATAGAGGGATAGGGGGGGCGGGGCGTAATTGCATTCAAAACACCCCTGACAGATGGCCATCCAGCCTCTGTTTACTTAGGCGATCCCTCGTTGTACGAGTAAGATGGTCTTCCATTATGGATTTATTTGTGGGTCCGTATGTGGCTGTGGAGCCCTATTCTTGCTCTGCATCTTCTTCCGCAGTGAGGGCATTGGTTTCCAGGTGGAAGGTGGTCCCGGTCAGGGTTGGCTTGACGCGCCTTCCTCCTGGCACGTTTCTCTCTTTCACCCTCCACTCGTGCCTCTCAAATTCTGCAGCACTGCTGGTCACAGCTGACCTCCAGCTGGAGCGCTCAAGGTCCAGAGCTTCCCAGTTCTCAGTGTCTATGGCAGAGATTTTAAGGTTGGCTTTGAGCCCATCTTTAAATCTCTTTTCCTGTCCACCAACATTCCATTTTCCTTTCTTGAGTTCAGAGTAGAGCAACTGCTTTGGGAGACGGTGGTCGGGCATCCGGACAACGTGGCCGGTCCAGCGGAGTTGATGGCGGAGGACTATTGCTTCAGTGCTGGTGGTCTTTTCTTCTTCCAGCATGCTGACATTTGTCTGCTTGTCTTCCCAAGAGATTTGCAGGATTTTCCAGAGGCAGCGCTGATGGAATCATTCTAAGAAATTTGCAGGATTTTCCAGAGGCAGCGCTGATGGAATCGTTCCAGGAGTTGCATGTGACATCTGTAGACAGTCCATGTCTCACAGGCATATAGCAGGGTTGGGAGGACAATAGCTTTATAGACAAGCACCTTAGTATCCCTACGGATGTTCCGGTCCTCAAACACTCTCTGCTTCATTTGGAAAAATGCTGCGCTCGCAGGGCTCAGGCGGTGCTGTATTTCGGTGTCGATGTTGACTTTGGTGGAGAGGTGGCTGCCAAGATAACCGAAATGATCAACATTTTCTAATGTTACACCATTAAGCTGTATCACTGGCATTGGAGAGGGGTAGCACCTTGGATGTTTCAATGTTCAATGACAGGCCGAGCTTCTCGTATGCTTCTACAAAGGTGTTTAGAGTGGCTTGTAGATCTTCTTCTGAATGCGCACAGACGACGTTGTCATCAGCATCATACATGAACGACGTCCTCAATGTGATATTGAGCTTTATGCATGCATATTCCATAGAGACTGAACCTACAGACCCTTCTACATAGCCATATAACCCAGAATATCAGGGCAGATAATCCACAATATCTGCTTTAAACTGGAATATCTGAGTCCACACTGCCAGATAATCCAGTTCAATGTGAATTTTACACAACTGTGTAGAAATCAGTCAGTTTGTACTGAAGACAACATGCAAAGAGCCATTTATAAACTAAGTTCTTCAAAAAGGGATTTACCGGCTATAAAGCACACAGTTCTGCTTCTGAGAACAGCAGCGGCACGTCTGGCTGTCACTAATCAACGGTGGCAAAGATGCAAGCTGTGTCTGCTGCCTTCCTGTGTCAGATTTATGTAGGCTATGAAGCAAATAGAAGGCCAACTGGTTTCTTAATTTAATGAGTTCTGTAGGAGGGAAAACAAAAACATGCCCAGATAGTTTTCCAAAGTTTAAGAAAGAAAACATAATAATAATAATAATAATAATAATAATAATAATAATAATAATAATAACAACTTTATTTTTATACCCCACCTCCATCTCCCCGAAGGGACTCGGGGCGGCTTACATGGAGCCAAGCCCAGTAACACAGAGTTAAAAACATAGCATATAAAAATAACAATAATATAAAACAATATAAAAACAATATTATCTATATAAATAAAAATGTAATGTTCGTTTGTGGTATTCACAGAACTCGAAAACCACTGGATGAATTGACACCAAATTTGGACACGATACACCTAACAACCCAATGTATGTCCTTCACTCAAAAAAAATGATTTTGTCATTTGGGAGTTGTAGTTGCTGGGATTTATAGTTCACCTACAATCAAAGAACACTCTGAACCCCACCAACGATGGAATTGAACCAAACTTGGCACAGAGTTCTTCCATGACCAACAGAAAATACTGGGATGGTTTGGTGGGCATTGACCTTGAGTTTGGGAGTTGTAGTTCACCTACACCCACAGAGCACGGTGGACTCAAACAATGATGGATCTGGTATAGTTCAATTTCTAATTCCAAGTTAGTTTCCTACTTATACCTATTTCCTTATTTCCTGGCCCTTCCCTCTCCCCCTCTCTCTCCCTCCCTCCGGGAACATTTGTGATTCAATTTAAGTTTTTATTCTATTTGCTGGATCATGGATATGGTCCTTGTGTTTTCTTTTTCACTTCACTTTGGCTATCGGTTCTTTCCAATTTGAGACCCAGTTCCACATATGACATCCGTTTATATACTTATATTTCTGGGTTGCTGTGAGTTTTCCAGGCTGTATAGCCATGTTCCAGAAGCATTCCATTCTGATGTTTCATCCACATCTGTGGCAGGCATCCTCGAAGGTTGTGAGGTCTGTTAGAAACTAGGCAAGTGGGCTTTTCCACAAATATATAAACCTCACTTGCCTAGTTTCCAACAGACCTCGCAACCTCCGAGGATGCCTGCAAGATGCCCCTCCTGTTTAAGGGGCTCCACTGGCTGCCGTTCATTTTCCGGTCCCAATTCAAGGTGCAGGTCCTTACCTACAAAGCCCTAAACGGTTTGGGACCTGCCTACCTGCGTGACCGCATCTCCGTATATGAACCCATACGTTCCCTTCGTTCATCTGGAGAGGCCCTGCTTGCGATCCCACCTGCGTCACAAGCGCGTTTGGTGGGGACAAGGGACAGGGCCTTCTCTGTGGTGGCCCCCCGACTCTGGAACACCCTCCCCAAGGACATCAGACAAGCCCCAACGTTGGCAGTCTTTAGGAAGAGCTTGAAGACTTGACTGTTCCAGTTTGCCTTTCCAGAATAGGAAACTCCCAGCATCATGTCCCAGACGCACTTTACCAGAGATTTAAGATTGCTTGCACACTGCACCTACCCTAGAATCCTACACTTCACCTGTCATGTCCAGCACTTTTAACTGTACCCATTGCATTTGGTCGGGCCCTAGTTTTAAATGTGTCACAGTGTATTGTTTGCTGTTTTACTGTTACTGCTTTAATATTTTTTGGTTTGCTTATGAGTTTATAATGTATTGTTTTGCTGTTGTTTTATTGAGGGCCTTGTCCTTTGTAAGCCGCATCGAGTCCTTCGGGAGATGTTAGCGGGGTACAAATAAAGTTAATAATAATAATAATAATAGATGTTGGCCACACAGCCCAGAAAACTCACAGCAACCAGGGATTCAGACCATGAAAGCCTTCAACCATACTTATATTTCCTTTTCATGATATAAGCCTGGAGCATATAGTCAGCTAGATATTCGTACCATTTTTTATTTCCCATTTTTTGTATTCTTTCCATCCCAGTGTAACCAGAGGAGGAAGTGGGGGCAAAGGCGTTGAAAACTTGGGGCAGGCAGGGAGGCCGGAGTGTGTTTCCCCTGACTCTCCTGTGTGTGCACACTCACATCCACAGTCCAAGCCTTGTTTTTATTGTAATAGTGCAATTCCCAACAGCTTTTGCCAGCACGGGAAATGGTGACGAATGATCGGAAGGGCAGTGCAATAACATCTGAAGGGATACATCATCCTCACTTTGACCTAGAACCATGGTATCTGAAGGACTGCCTTCTCCTACATGACACCATTTAGTGAGGTTTTTCTCAAAGGCTTCAAGGTCCCTTCACTTCCAGACTAGTACCAAGAAACTCTTTCAGTTCAGAAGCAGAACCCAGTTTCTGAACTGCTCTACTGAAATATCTTTCTTTTTAATGCCAAGTGGTACTTACTATCTCTACCTAGCTATCTAGCATTTAATTCTGTCTCTACTTCTCCTTTTCTCCTTGCTTTACATTATAGAATTGTATTTTTGATACCAATGTCAGGTATCTTGAAGGCTGTATAGCTAAAGGATGGCTAGAAACCTTATAAATATATCTTTAGACAAGGAGTTTTGCATGCTCAAGTCACCTCTTCGATCCATACGATTTCCAGGAACAGGAAACATAGTGCCAGTTTTCAGATACAGAAGAAGTCCAGCTTCAGGGTCTGCTCTTTTTCCTTGGCACAAAAGTGAGTACAAAACTACCTGAAAGGACATTTGAAAATCTATATCAATAAAAATGTAATGTTCGTTTGTGGGATTAACATAACTCAAAAACCACTGTGCGAGTTCACACCAAAATTGGACACAATACACCTATTAGGCCAATGAGTGACCATCATTCATAGAAACACTGAAAAACACAGAGGAAGAGACTTAACAAGACAAAAAATCAAAAGTACATTACAACGCATGCACAAACCACATACTGTATATACTCGAGTATAAGCCGACCTGAACATAAGCCAAGGCACCTAATTGTACCACAAAAAACTGAGAAAATGGATTGACTCGAGTATAAGCCAAAGGTGGGAAATGCAGCCGCTACAGGTAAATTGCAAAATTAAAAATAGATACCAATTAAATTGCATTTAATTTAATTTAATTCACTGCAGTCTTCAGGAGTGAGATTTGAGAGGCATAAGAGGAGGTACGGTAATAGGATAAGAGAGCGGGCCAGACAGCTAAAAGAGTTGTGTTTTTCTGGGCCCAGTGCCACTCTATCTTTTTTTTTCCATACCCCGGGTGCTCCCAGCTTGCTCCGCCCTTCACTTACACCTTCCCGGTGAGGCGCCCCTTCACCTCACCATCGGGACGAATGAATTTTCTTCTACCATACATGTAATAGCGCCACCCTTAATGCTTTCATACAGTCGCTGCATATGGCAGGGACGCGGCCACTGCCATTTTTGAGCTCCCCCCACAATATGCAGCAACCACAGATTCTCCAATCCAGATTGGAAGTTTCAGCACCTGCTCTATAATACGACTCCTGGCGTATAAGACTACTCCCACATATAAGACGACTCCCATGCATAAGTCTACTCCAGTGTATAAGACGACTCCCATGTATAAAACAACCCCTGACTTTTGAGATGATTTTCTTGGGTTAAAAAGTAGTCTTATACGCCAGAATAAAAGGTACTTTCAAAGTAAGGAGCACACCATTAAACAGGAAATAATAGCTTTGAACCAGGAACAGATTTTTTTTCAAATTTTGTTACATAGTGTAAAGAATGAGCATCCGGATTTTTGTGTCCATAGGAAAGTCCTTGAATCAAATTCCAGAGAATACCAAAGGCCCACTCTATATTCCTTCATCTTAAATGTAATTTCCCAGGCTCTACCAATAAGGAAAAATAATTCACATATATATTTCCATGGAACTAGTTGGCCAAGACACTTAGCTAAGCAACCACAACTGAAAGAGAACCGTCAGAGATCCCTTAAAACTGCAAGTATATCCCACAAATCTGATGCCCTGTAAAAGAGTGTAAATATAACAGACCACATGCTAAGTGTTGAGCAAATAAGTCACAACACGCTAGAAATGATCCAAGAATTCACCAACAGAAGGCTGTACCAGCTTTTCAACATCCCAAATTATTTTTGTTACATAGATGCAGTGCTTGATTAAACTTTCTTCACATTACAACAATGAAATATAGATCTTCAAACTGGAGGCAAATAGCATCCAGCTGGACTCACCTTAAACAACTTGTTCCTTAAACACCAAGAGCTGTCTCAATTTTAGTCACCAGGAAAAAAAATCCTACACCAACTTCATTCAGCTCTCCATTGCAGATGTCACAATAGTATTGCAATAGACTAACATAGCTACTCTCTTACATATTTAATCATTTTTTAGCTTTCTTTAAATTTAGACTACTGTAATCCCACAAAGGCTATTCTTTGTACCTGACTCCTGTGCTCGATTGAGTTAGATTCCTTGCCACTTTTAAGCTCCAATGGCATTATCTTGGACTGAGTTTTAGATCTGTGGTGAATTGTTACTCCAACCGTAACATCAATTTTGCCCTTTAAGCCAAACCGAGGACACCAGATATTTTCCTCCACATCCAGGATTTCCGTTACTTTGACATTGCAAAAAGAGTCATCTTTATTTCTTGGCCTATCAAAGAATAAATTAGGCGTGTTAACTTGTATCTTTATAGAAAATAAAGGCTATCTTCTCAAAATAAAGTGTTGGGAAAAAGAGGCAATAAAGCACTTATGTATTTAGTTAAAACACCTTTCTATATTTTTAAAATGAAAGCTGAAATCAAATCATATTAATTTTAAGATGTTGCTTCTGAACAATATAAACTGTTACTTACTGGTACTCATCTTTCAGGTGAAAACAAAAGATTTTACTCCCAAACAGCAGGATGTGTTACACAGCGGGAGGAAGCCAGATTACTCACCAGAGCGTCATACAGGGAGCATACCACCAGGGGCGGCTCGTCCATTACGCGAAGTAAGCGGTCGCAGAACACTTTTTTTTGCCAGGGGCGCAGAGTCGCCTCTGTAAAAACCACCACTTGAGGAGCTCCCCCTCAGCTCACAACAGCCCTAGCAGTCCGGGGGGAGCCTCGGCTTTCTTGCCTCGCTGCCGGGCGATCCTCTTCCCAAAGGGGCCGGGCCCTTGAGCCTCGCCTAGCCCCTCTCGTTCCTGCTCCACCCAGCCACCGGGTGCGCGAGCAGAGCCGGCGCTCAATCGTTCTCCACGTTCGATCCCTTCCCCATGACCGGCTCCCTTTCCCGTTCACCGGCTCCACCCGCCTCCTCTCCTCTCCCCAATCCGTGGGTGGGCAAGGGGCGGAGCCGCCGCGCATGGCCTGCTTCGGGTCCTGAGGCGTGTCTGAAGACCCCAGCGTGCGCACCAAAAGTCCCTCTTCTCCTGACTTTCTCTTCAGCCATTGGGACCAAGAGAGAGAGAGAGAGAGAGAGAGAGCCCCTCCGGCTGGAGGTATCTCCCACCTCCGCTCCCTCCTTTGTTTTTGCGCCTACCTTCAGGAAAGGTGGGCATCTCCACCTCTCTCTCTCTCTCTCTCTCTCTTTCTCTCTCTCTTGGTCCCAATGGCTGAGGAGAAAGTCAGGAGAAGAGGTGACTTTTGGTGCACACGCCGGGGTCTTCAGGCACGCCTCCGGACCCAAAGCGGGCCAGGCAAGGGAGCAAATGCGGCAAGTGTAGTTACTGGGATGTATAGTTCACCTACAATCAAAGAGCATTCTGAACTCCACCAATGATGGAATTGAACCAAATATGGCACACAGAACTCCCACGACAAACAGAAAATATATATCAATGATTGGTTGGGGGGGGGGGGCGCCAAAATACTGTTTGCTTACCGTTGAAAATTACCTAGGGCCGCCTCTGCATACATACACCTCTAAGCTCCACTGGCCTACAAAACCCTATACGGTTTCGACCCAGCGTATCTGTCTGAACGCATCTCCTTCTACTCCCGCCTTGGAGTTTAAGATCTTCTGGGGAGGCCCTGCTCTCGGCCCACCTCTATCACAAGTGAGTTTGGTGGGGACGAGGAGCAGGGCCTTCTCGGTGGTGGCCCCTCGCCTGTGGAATTCACTTCCCGAGGAAATTAGGTCATCGACATCCCTCCTCTCTTTTAGAAGGAAACTAAAAACATGGATATGGGACCAGGCCTTTGGGTAATCTGGCAGATAGACAAAGGACAATGACGACTAGAATTGGATAGGATTTGACAATGTGGAATGAACTTACGGATTCTGAGCTGGCGAACATTGAACATTAGATTGGTTTTATTGATTGTGATGTATAATTGTTTTAATTGTTTATAATTTTTATGTTGGCATCGAATTGTGCCTTTTGTAAGCCGCCCTGAGTCCCCCCTCGGGGGTTGAGAAGGGCGGGGTAGAAATGCGCGAAATAAATAATAAATAAATAAATAATCCGGCCCTCCAACAGTTTGTGCATTGCAAATGTGATTGGCAGAGACGAAGGACAGGGCCTTCTCAGTGGTGGTCTCCCAGCTATGGAACTCCCTCCCCAGGAATATTAGATCGGCCCCCTCTCTCCTGGCTTTCCAAAAAAAAAAAACCACGGAATGATGAACATGGAATGGCCAGAAGATGTTACCGGATAACGTTTTTAACAAGATGACACTGATGATTATATGCTTTAACGGTTTTTATTTATGTTTTATATTGTAATGTTGATTGTCTTTAATGGCACTTTTATGAATGCCTGACATTGAATTGTGCCAATCTGTAACCCGCCTTGAGTCGCCGTATGGCTGAGAAATGGGGGCTATAAATATCGTAAGTAAGTAAATAAATAAATAAATAAATGGTGATAACTGAATCTAGCTATGTGATGTATAGAAAAAAGAAAGAGAGGGGCTGAAAATATGTAGACTCAAATACTATAACTTAATTGGCAGCTAGTTTCCTACAGTTGTAATAGACAAGCTGGGAAAATACTTTAAATATTAAAAAAGGAGGAAAGTGTTTTGAATTAAGCCATGCCCAAACCCAATCAAGACAGCATCACTGTGTTCCCCCCTCAGAAACACATTCTACATATCTCATCCAGGGTTTGATCAATTTTATTCCTAGTACATTTGGCCCACCCACTGTGTTCTATTTCTCTATCATGTTATTTTGAAACTATTTTATGCTGTTATTTCATGTATTTATTTTGATGGTATTTTTGCTTTTTGTATTTTATTTAGCTGTACTGTAGTTTTGGGCTTGGCCTCATGTTAGCCGCCCCGAGTCCCCTTTGGGGAGATGGTGGCGGGGTATAAATAAAGTTTATTAAAGTTCTGGCCCTACTTACCTCTCCGAACGCATCTCCTCCTATGAACCAACTAGGACATTAAGATCATCTGGGGAGGCCCTGCTCTCAGTCCCGCCTGCATCACAGGTGCGCCTGGCGGGAATGAGAGACAGGGCCTTCTCAGTGGTGGCCCCTCGGCTGTGGAACGCCCTTCCTATAGATATCAGATCGGCCCCATCCCTATTGGCGTTTCGGAGGAAAGTGAAGACCTGGCTGTTCGAACAAGCATTCGATTAAGCAGTGTAATGAATATAGGAACACGGATTAACGGATGATGAGATTGGATTCTGATTTTACTGATGAGACGCTAATGATTGTTATATTGATGTTTAATTGTTGATGATGCTATTGTTTTAACTGTCCCATAATCGTTTTATGATGTTTTGCATTGAATTTTGCTGTTGTTAACCGCTTTGAGTCGCCTGAGGGCTGAGAAAAGTGGTATATAAATGAAGTAAATAAAATAAATAAATAATAAATGTTGACACAAATGTCACAGTAAATGAGATCTATATGCTGGATTTCATCTCACAAAATCACAAGTCAAACACTTCCCAAGTGTCTAGGACCTTGTGATGTATTTTCGAATAATGCGCTCAGACCCAAGTAAGGTGGTCTTTTGCAGTTGCCAGATCGTGATTTTGTCAAAGTTTATTGTTTCCAAATACCGGCTGAGATCTTTTGGCACGGCACCCAATGTGCCGATCACCACTGGGAACACCTGTACTGGTTTATGGCAGAGCTATTATTATTATTATTATTATTATTATTATTATGTGTAAAAAGTGTGTCACCAACATGAAATGTCTGGAAAGCTCTGCATTAAGATGTTGGGAATACAAAATTACCAGATCTAGCACAGAAGTAAATAGAGAAGAAAGGGAAAATTTAGAAGTCAAGAAATAAATAAAATAATGGAAAGGATTCCTAACTGAGCACCACTATCAGCCAAAGGAAGATTTTCTTTATTATTATTTTACTGACACAAAACCACATTATGTCACAGCAAACGAGATCTATATGCTGGATTTCGTATCACAAAATCACAAGTCGAACACTTCCCAAGCGTCTAGGACTGTGTGATATTATTATTATTATTATTATTATTATTATTATTATTATTCCACCTTCTCTCATCTGTCTCCCAAGAAAACTGATCTGGAACACCAAGAGACTCCCTGAAATCACATTTAGGTTTGTGCTTAAGATAGCCAGCAAAAATATGTCAACCCTTTTACATAATACATCTGCCAAGAGGAAACTTTTGGCATATCATAGTCTGTTCCATTCATGGAAGATCTAGCGTAGAATGAACTTAGCACAATTTTTCCATCCTCGATTCTTTAAAGTGACTGAGAATCTTCAAAAGGATAATGGTTAGACAGTCCACCTTAAGGCAAGGAGTTGGATGTTATTTGCTTTATCCTTTCAGATGTAAGATTCTGAAACAGCTATACATACAGTTCCAATAAAGCCACAAAAACATATTGTGTTCCAATTACTTACAATTTCAGCTGCAGGTTATGCTGGTTTGATTGATGGTTTGTGCACATGAACTCTTCTGCCCATTTAGTAAAAGATGGGAAATATTCCTGTATTTCCCCCATTACATCATTTTGCTTCAGATTTAACTGATACCTTCAGGAATCAGAGGACAAAAGTATATAAAATGCTTTACATTCAACAAGAGAATAAGAAAGGCAACAGGAAAATAATGCAAACGATCTCTAAAGTACAATGCTGTTGCATGCCCGTTTATTTTCATATCCATAATTATTTATGATCTATACCAGGTCTCTCTGGAATCTTCCTCCCTCGAGTACAGCAGACGTGCTCCCAGCCCGCGAAGCCTCGAATTGTTAATATCCCGGAGATATCGGCTGTCATGATAAGAGTGAACAAGCCATCTATTGTCTCTTCCCTGGGGCGGTACTGTTATATCTGGCTGATACATAGCGAATCGTAAACCGAAAATCCCAATGAATTTTGGAGCTACCGCCTCTTCCATTGCTTGAATCCTCCCTTTTGACACCAGTGCATAGGATCTGCCAGAAGTTGAGTATGGCCACCCACACCCTGGCCTCCACCCTCATAAAGCCCATCTCTAGTCGCAGGGTGGCATTAGAAACGCATTTAGGTACCTGCAAGGCCGATCTCAGAAACTTTGACTGAACCAGCTCTAATGGAGCAAAACTGGGGAAGGGACCCAGCTGAGCACCATACAAGAGTTGGGCTAATGACTTAGCTTCAAACAGTTTGAGCACTGCCGGTGTAAAGTGGCCCCCTCTTGACTTAAGATATTTAAGAAT